CCCCCCTCCCCCCAGCCGCTTCTCTGTGGAATGCCCCGTAGCGGTCCGGCCCCGGCCGGCTCAAGCCTGTCCCATACGGTCGAGTCTCGTGTCAGGGCCCGTGAGGGTCGGAGCCAGCATGACGACGAGCCCGTGAAGCGAGAGCCTTCGAGAGGACGCACGACGCGCGAGCACGCCGCCATGGACACGACCCGGTGCCGCCGAGGACCGCGCCGTCCCCGTACGTACCCGCGCTGCCGCCGCCGCCGCCAGCGTCGACCGGTGACGGTGGCATGTTTCGAAAAAAGATTTGCGAGTAGTCTTTCGTATTCTCTAAAATCTTGTGAACTTCCTTGTTCTCATGGCCGATGAATTTTCCTATGCTTGCTCCGCTAATTATTATGCACTTTACAATACGCCGACATAGTCAAATTGATTCAGCGTTCTACTCACTGAAGTCTAATGAAGTTATGGCTGATGAATTTATTCCCTGTGCATGCTCCGCTTATGCATTTTATTTCTACCGGCGTATTAGAACAGTGTGTAAGCAGTGCACGCACACGGAAATTCATAAGCCGCGAGGAAGAAATAATTCATGGGGAAATTTTCAAAGTCTCGTGACGTGCGTCTTAAACTTGGTAGGTACGAGTGACAATCTAACACTTACAATTTAAATGGGGCGGAACGTTCAATTCGTGAGGGTATACAATACAACTCTCAACATTGTCCAAATCGTAGGCTACTTCACAAATCTTGGACACCAAAATGTCTCGCACAAAAGTGTGTGACTAACGAAGAAGACTGTGTGAGTGATGTCAGGTACAAAAGAGTGAGCGACATTTCACCTGTCACCCGCTCCCTTAATGCGTGACGCTCGTCCAACCGTTCGCTACAATTTAGGTGATAGTCCACACTTTTGTGTTAGCTACATTGACCGATACTTTTAAGTGTTTGTATGCGCCACAACACGTTTCTATGAGGGAACGTGGGGCAGTGACGTAGCCGATAACAACAAATGCTAACCGTTTGATTAGTCCGCACCCAAAATGCACATGCCAACGTCTAGAAACACTCTTAACCTTTTGGGCCGTCGGATCCGGCGCGCGCGCGCGGCCTGCACGTTCTTATGGGGCCCGGCCTTTGCCGGCGCCAATCTCTTACTTTCGATAACGGGTGGCCCATTTCCATATTCTTCGTGGTCCATGCTAATGCCTGGAGACGCGTGGGCGAGAGGGGGAGAGGGGGGAGGAAGGGAGGGGGAGCAGTAACGGTGCACCTCTCTGTGCGTCACACGTGGCTTACGACTTTAACGCCGCTGCAGCACTCAGTCTTCTTAACTCTCACCGCGACGTGTGTACGGGACGACCCGGTTCTATATACGACATACTTGGAAGCAGAGCCCTATAAAAAAACAAAAAACAAAAAACGAGTTGGTTGTTGCTGCTGTCGTTGTTGTCTGGTTGGTTCACCAATTTTGGTTGGCGGCAAGTAACCTTATTTCGCATTCCAAGCAGTGTGGCTCCATCACAATACTCGACGCAATCTCGGCTCCAGGAAATACCATAGCAGAGCGTGACCACTCTGTGGCCGCGCCGCACTGGACGTGTTCAAAACACATTCAAGGAGGAACGCGGCCACCTCGCAGTCAACCTTCGCTGGTTTCTCTGACAGCCCAGGGTTGCAAGTACTGGAAAGTGTCCGGAAAATTATCTGAATGTTTCAGGAAATTTTCTAAAAGTTTTTGACAAAATTTCTGAAGATTTCCGAAAAATTAAAGTAAATTTCCGGGAAAACGCGGAAAATTGCCGGGGAAGTAAGGAATATTTCAGGACAAATTTCCCAAACCCCGGAAATTTTCATTTTTTCCCCGAAAATTTTCGTAAATTTGCTACCCTACGACAACCCATGAGGGTGCAGCGAGTGCTGGCAACAGGTGTGTCGCCTCCGTCTAGCTTCCTGCCCTTTGTTTGTGCCAGGGCTCCTCACCGTTGCGCCCCTCGTCCTGGCCCTGGTCGCCGTGACGCTGGCCGTGCTGCCGTCGCCCGGATCCTCGCTGCCCATCGTGGACCCAGGTAAGAGGACGATGGCGCCGACGCCGACCAAATCACCGAGCCCCTCAGCGCCGAGGTTCGCCAGAGTTGTATTATAGGGGGCGGGGGC